TATCTTCACAATTATTTGCTTTCCTGACATCAACATGAAATAAAACCCAATTTTCAAAATGGGAATGGAGAAGGCTAAGGATGTAGTGACCATATAGTACAGACTGGGTGTTCTGGAAGAACTTCATGGAAGGAGGAAAACATAAAATGAATAAAGAATATCACAAAAATGTGAGCATTCTCCTGAGCCTTCCATGGAATTGTTACATTCTGGAAACAAGATATTACTAGGTTACATTTATTTTGTTAGCAGGCTTATGTTTTTACTGTAAAATGCATTCATCCACAAAAACAAATAAAAAGAAAAAAACACTTCTCCCCAGCTCCTAGCACAAAGAGAACTATAATAAGAGAGGTTATATCATTTCCAGGTTATTCATTGATTATTTCCAACTTTGGATCCCACATTTAAAAGGTTAACAGTTTTCTGAGTACAGGTAAAATTAAAACGAATGAGTTTTAAATTGTGGAACACAGAAATCCAAACTGTCATTTGAGTTTGAGTTTAGAATGTGATTAAACAGAATTGACAAATTCAAGCTTTCACAAAGGTCAGGAGGTCATGTGAGCAAAGAAGATGTAGTAACAAACTGAAGAACGTATATCCCTTACCAGTGGTTGCACATAGAATTTACTATGACTTAATATCCATTCAGAGATTATGATGGAATTGGTCACAAGTGAAAAACAAGACACATCATAATTAAAATGCCAAGGGTTAAAGACAAAGAGAGAATCTTAAAAGCAGCAAGAGAAGAGCAGTTAGTTACCTACAAGGGAGCACCTATTCGACTCTCAACAGAAACTTTGCAGGCCAGAAGGAAGTGGCAAGAAATATTCAAAGTGATGAATAGCAAGGATCTACACCAAGATTAGTCTACCCAGCAAAGCTCTCATTTAGAATTGAGGGACAGATAAAGAGCTTCGCAGACAAGAAAAAGCTAAAGGAGTTCACCACCACCAAACCAGTAATATAAGAAATGTTTGGGGGTTAAGGAAGGCTGGGAGAAAGTCAAGGGGGGAAAAAAGGAGACAAATGTACTACTCATTGTAATATTTTAAGCAATAAAAAAAAGTTTAAAAAAAGAAGAGGAAGAAGAAGAAGAAGAAGAAGAAGAAGAAGAAGAAGAAGAAGAAGAGGAGGAGGAGGAGGAGAGGGAGGAAGAGGAGGAGAAGAAGAAAATTATGAACAATAAAATGTCAATAAATACATATCTATAGCAATTGAATCTAAAAATCAAAATAAATGAACAAGAAATCTAATGAACAAAATAAATTGATGAATAAAATAGAATCAGAGGCATGGAAACATGTAACAGATTGACAAATCTTAGAGGGAAGGGGATTGGGAGGGGCAGGAAGAGATTAACCAAAGATTTTATGTGCATATATGCATTACCTATGGACACAAACAATAGGGTGGTGAAGGCCTGGGGCAGGCAGGAACCAGGTGGAGGGGGGCAATGGGGAGAAAAAAGAGGGACATCTGTAATACTCTCAACAATAAAGATTTTTTAAAAATAAAATGCCACATGTAACAAAAATAAATTACTATGCAGCAAAGAATTACATTAGTCTATGTCCACTGAGAAAGAAAGAAAAAAAATAGCTGAAAGAGTATAATGTGGGATTTGGAGAAAAAATAATTTCATGCTCAATGTATTTCAAAACTTTGACAATTTTTTTTTTTTAGGTTTTGGATTAAATACCACATTCTTGACCTCAAACTTTTTTTCTTTTGGAAAAGAGGAAGATGAAAGAAAAACCCTGTTCCCAAAACCTTCTCTCTTCTTCAAGGCCTACCATTGCCTGGACCATCTTAACTCTTTCAAATGATTCACCATTATCCTCTATGTAAACTAGACACTCACTTTTCTGTTAATTAAAAAGAGATAGAGGCATAATTATTCCAAAAGGAAGGGGTTGTGGTCTTTGCCTCAGTCTGGATTAGAAGAGTAGTTGTTTCAAAGAAGGTGAGAAATTGTGACCCATGAACAGGTGGTAGAAGTACTTTCTCCTTCAAGAAAATGAGATAGAAAAGGAAATGCAGCACTACATGAGGGCCCACTTCAGTGACAGTGATACTGAAGCCAGTTTCAGGAAGAAGTGGTCCTTTAGATCTGTATGAAAACTGGTCGTCGCAAAAAAAGGTAAAGAAAGAATATGACCCTGATAAGGCATCTAGGTATAGCTGTTGACCTCCGCCAGCCACCAGTAATTTAAGTAGAAATAATAGCATATAGTCAGTAAACTGCGGCTCTCGAGCCACATGCGGCTCTTTGGCCCCTTGAGTGTGGCTCTTCCTAAGCCTTAGGAGTACCCTAATTAAGTTAATAACAATGGACCTACCTATATAGTTTAAGTTTAAAAAAATTGGCTCTCAAAAGAAATTTCAATCTTTGTACTGTTGATATTTAGCTCTGTTGACTAATGAGTTTGCCGACCATTGAATAGGGCATAGAAAAGCGAAAGAATGTGAACATTTAAAAAAAAATGCAAAATACAGTGTGGAAAAGGAAGAAGAGAGATAAACAGGATAATGTATTTTTACATTTGAATTGCCAAGGGTCATTCTAAGAAGCTTAATTTTGATTTGGAGGTAATAGAATTTTTAAAAATTAGGCAATGATGCTTATAAATAGATTTGTATTCTAGAAGGAAACAATTCTGACAGTAATGTGAAAGTTGGATTGAAAGAGATGGTAGAGATTGGAATGGAGGTAAAGTAATTGCTAAGAAGCTAGCATAAATGCCTGGTTAAAAAATAGTAAGGGATTATAATATTCAGTAAAATTACAATGGGATAAAAGGATACCCATTGAAGAGCTATTTATGTATAATTCTGATAAATCTTATTTAAGGGTAAAAACTTGGAACAAGTTGAATATGAGATCCCAGTTTCTGATTTGAATGTCTTATAACAGTTGAGAACAGAACAGGCTTTCAAAACTCAAATTTATCTATAAAGTTAGACATGGGTGGAGAAAAAATAAATCAGCAAATGAAGAATCAGAACTTTGTACTAGTCGCTGAGCAACATTAAATAATTAACTCATTTATGCTCAATTTATTTTCCTCATTTATAAAATACAATGGTTGAAAAAGGGCCTTCCACCTCTAATATCATGGCTCTGTTTACTTATATGTAGCAACTTTGTATATATATACTAGAGGGCCGGTGCACAAAAATTTGTGCACTCGGGAGGTCCCTCAGCCCGGCCTGTGCTCTCTTGTAGTCTGGGACCTCTTGGGAAATGACCACCTGCTGGCTTAGGCCCGATCCCCGGGGGATTGGGCCTAAGCTGGCAGTCAGACATCCCTCTGGCAGCCTGGGAGCCCTCGGGGGATGTCCACTTGCCATCAGGGAGCAGGCCTAAGCTGCAGTCGGATATCCTTAGCGCTGCTGAGGAGGTGGAAGAGGCTCCCTCCACCACCACTGAACTGGCAGCCAGCAGCCTGTCTTGTGGCTGAGCAGAGCTCCTGCTGTGGGAGTGCACTGACCACCAGGGGGCAGCTCCTGCATTGAGCGTCTGCCCCCTGGTGGTCAGTGTGTGTCATAGTGACCAGTCATTCCCAGTCATTTTGCTGTTAGGGACAATTTGCATATTACCCTTTTATTATATAGGATAGAGGCCTGGTGCATGGGCAGGGGCCGGCTGATTTGCCCTGAAGGGTGTCCTGGATCAGGGTGGGGGTTTCGCTGAGGTGCCTGACCAGCCTGGGTGAGGGTATGAGGGCCGTTTTCAGGCTGGCAACACCCTCTTCAGGGTGGGGGTCCCCGCTGGAGTGCCTGGACAGCCTGGGTGAGGTGCTGATGGCTATTTGCAGGCTGGCCACACCCCCTTCAGGGTAGGGGGTCCTGCTGGGGTGCCTGGCCAGTCTGGGTGAGGGGCTGATGGCTGTTTGCAGGCTGGCCAAGCCCCCCAGCAGGGACCCTCCCCCCATGAGGGTGTGGCCATCCTGGGTGAGGGGCTGATGGCTTTTTTCAGGCTGGCCATGGCCTTCAGCCACCCAAGCTCCCAGTGGAGGCTGTCTGGAAGCAGGTATCTGGGATTTTTTTATCTTCTATAATTGAAACTTTGTTGCCTTGAGTGGAGGCCACAGCCGGCCCCAGCAGGTGAGAAGCTTGGCTTCCTCCATCGGCAGGGCAACCAAGCCTCCTGCTTGCTCCAGCTCTGTGGCTGCCAGCCGCCATCTTTGCTGGGTTAATTTGCATATAGTCACTCTGATTGGCTGGTGGGTGTGGCTTGGGCATAGTGAAGGTGTGGTCAATGTGCATGTTTCTCTTTTATTAGATATATATCTATAAAAATAAGTAATATGCAAATTAGGCCAGGACGCCGTAATGGTCACGACCAGTTCAGGAGGAGGGGCAGGGTGCTGCCCCAAGCCTAAGAGAACAACATGCAGGCGTGGCCCGGAGCCTGAAAGAACTACACACAGTGGGGAGGCCCGACCCCAGCAGCCCCAGAGTGGAGGCACGGGGTTGTGCCCAAGCTGCCGCTGCCACTGGGCCCCAGCAGCCCCTGAGTGAAGGCAAGGGTGTGCCCAGCAGGAGCAGGCCTAAGCAGTCAGTAGGACATCTCCTGAGGGCTCCCAGAGTGTGAGAGGGGGCAGGCTGGGCTGAGGCCCTCCCCCCAGTACACAAATTTTGTGCACTGGGCCTCTAGTTGTTATATAATTTTATTTCTCCAAAGGTAGGTTGTTCTACTCTAGCATTTCCTTTTGAAAGACATGGCAGGAATAGCGTGAAGTGGGCATAGAAAAGAACTAGAAGTCAAGAAAAAAATAAAAGTGATAACACACAGGAGAAATAGGAAAAGTACTGTAATTATGGAAGTCCTTGCAAGAGAGTGAAGTTCCTCTTACTGGAAGTGAAGTGTACACCCCTGACTGAGTCAGCAGGGACATTGAATAAATTTCAGCTCAGACGCTTATATAACTGAGCAGTTGGGTTTACTGTCTTAGACGTCTGCTATCTCCTTGAGAAGAGCTGGAAAAGCTGCCTCTTCAGCCTGGATCTCAGAATAACAAGTACGGCCAGACCGGCAGCCTAAGACAGCCGTGTGGTTGCCAGCTTCTAGCAAACCGCTCTCAGCCAATGCAGCACAGACAAGTGAGTGAGCCAGGGTTTGGGGTATGGTTTGTAATTAGCGTTAATGTGGCCATGGCTACCTGGTAACAAAGTTTATGGTTTTAAAATGGCATTTAGACTTTTGGATTAGTTTGTACTAGAGATAAAGGCTTGATGGAAAGAATCTATCCACAGGTTTCCCCAATCTCTCCTCTCTCTCTCTCTCTCTCTCTCTCTCTCTCTCTCTCTCTCTCTTTCTCTCTTTCTCTCATCACATACACACACATACACACACACACACACACCTGCTTGCCTCCTAAAATAATTATTTTGGAGATGTGAAATAATATTCATACATTAAAAACTTCAAAATACAAAATTAGAGAGAACTTATACTTACCTGGCAGGGGAGATACCATGATCACAAAATTAGAGAGAACTCTATTCCTTATAGCCCAGCTTTTTGAAAAATACCAACCCATTACTCTCTGTTTGTCTCTCAAGGAGATGACTTTGAAATATAGGCTGCCATCCTTGTATTTCATCCTCACCTCTGTCAAATGATATTAAATGATTACAATCATCTTAGCATAATGCAAATAGAACATTTTTTGTTGTTGTTTAACTTGAGGTCTGCTTTCTACATCTGGAAGTAGACGTTCAGCATATAAGAACATTCGTGGCAAAGTCCCGAATAGAGAGAAGCTGTAGAGTATAATAGTGGTTTAATGAACAGAGCCTGTTAGTATCTAAGCTCTGCCACATATTGGCTGCGTTCCTTTAAGAAAGTTTTTAACATCTCTGTTACTTTAAGGAAATTGCCTCATCTGTAAATTAATGAAACATTTAAGCTCCTGTTTGGTAATGTTATTGAGTTTAAATTAAATCATAAAATTTAAGAGCTCAGGAATAGGCCTACCATAGAGTAAAAACACATTAAATATTAGGTATAATTTTTCCTATTATTATCATTAAAACAAATTCATATTTCTTTCACTGAAGTCTAACTTGCCATTTCATGCTCAGTTTTTTTAGAATTGATTCCGTGGCTGGGAATCCCTAGTGGTCAAAATTAACTAAACATTTTGGTAGGTCAGGATGCTGCTGTGAAAAATCAAACTGGTGGCTTCATAAACCACGGACTCTCACTTTCTTTGCACTGAATCCAACTGTCAGAAGAATCATTTCAGAGTCCAAACTACCTCCAGTGACTTCTCAAACTGCAATGAGGTAGAATGAACTTTGAATGGCAACATGCCAAGAGGGAAGAAATTATGTGATTTCCGAGGAACCTCTGACATATTTTTTTTTTCTTGTGGTGGTGGTGGTGGTGGTGGTGGTGGTGGTGCGCCCTCGAGTTCTGAGACTCCCTTAATTTTTAATTTTTCTATTACCTCTCTTACTATTTTTCTATTACTCCCTCTCTTCTTAATTTTTCTATTACCTCCAATATCTTTATATTAATAAAAAATAATATTTTATTATTTTAATATTAAAATATTAATATAATATTTTATATTAATGTTGCATTTTCATTTTAGATTGTCTTAACATTGTATTCTATTTTTAATTGTCTTCCTTTATATTATCGAAGCTAAACCCAGGGAGTGAGCAGGGATCTTGAATCCAGTGTGTTTACTGTGACCAGTCTGTATTTTTTTTTTTTACTCAGAGGAGACATGAATAATGACCTAAACCTGACAAGTATAGGAGAGTCCCAGTCTTCAGGTAAGAAGCACATCTGTGACAGGCTCTAGATGTGGCTTGTGATGGAAGCACATTTATATTTTGCCAGTCCCTGCCTTCCACTCTGAATCCTTATCCACCTGAGAAATTACTGTCTCTATGCTCTTCATCTCTTCTACCTCGATCAAATTCTTTTCAGTTACCCCAGGTAAACAGTACACACTGTGTGAATAAAAGATAACTGATTGTTGTACTATTTAACAGCTTTATTTAGATAAAGTGACATACATGAAAATACACATATTTAAAGTGTACAATTTATAAATGTTGACATATATGACACATCCATGAATCCACAAATACGGTCAAGATAATGAACACATCCATCAACACTAAAAGTTTCTCCATACACCACTGTAATCTAATCTTTTTTTACTGCCACTTTCAGCCTGCCCTCCATGACAGCCACAAATCAGTTTTGTGTCACTATAACAGACTTCCATTTTCTGAAGTTTTACATAGATGGAATCACACAGTGTGTACTCATTTCGGTTCTGCTTTTACTATCCAGCATAATTATTTTAATATTGATCCATGCTTTGTAGATCTCAATAGTTCATTCCTCTTGTTATTTTTCTGACTAGTTTTCACTCATATAGCTGTACCTTAACCTATTTATGCATTCACCCATTAAGGAACATTTGGATTGTTTCCAGTTTGGGGTTATTACAAATAAGCTGTTATAGAAATTTGTGTACCAGTATTTGTATGGACATAAGCTTCCATTTTTGGGGGAAACACCTATGAGTAGAATGGATGAATCATAGAATAGGTGCATATTTGTTTTTTTAAAGACACTTCTATACTGCTTCCCAAAATGTTCTACCATTTTACATTTCTACCAACACTGGATGGGATTTCCAGTTCTTTCATATTTTCCCCAATACTCAGTGTGGTCAGCCACTTTTTTAGTCATTTTAAAAGATTTGTAGTGATTTCAACATTTGGCTTAGTTTGCCTTTTTTAATGACTAGTGATGATGAACATCTTTTTATGTTCAATTTGCCATCTATATGTCTTAGTTCGTGAAGTGTCTGTTGAACTCTTGCTCAGATTTTTTTTTACAATATATTGTGTGTTTCCTTATTAAGTATTAAGAGTTCTTTATATATTCTTGACACAAGTTCTGTATCAGACATTTGCTTCACAAATATTTTCTCCAAATCTCTGTTTCATCTTTTTATTTTTTGTTAACACTGTCTTCTGAAAAGCAGATATTCTTAGTTTTTAGGAAGTCCAACTTGTTACTTTTTATAGATTGTGCTTTTTGGATTTGATTCAGGAAATCTTTGTTTTACAATTTTATAGTTTTAGGTATTACATTCACTCCTATGGCCCATTTGGAATTAATTTTTGTATATGAAATGTGATATATTCATTTTGTATATGGATATCCAATTATTCAGGAAACATTTATTAAAATGACTATCCTTTTTTGTGTCCGACAAAAATCTGGGTCTATCCTAGCCATTTGTCTATTTTTACAACAATGCCATGCTGTATTGACACCTGTAGCTTTATAATAAGTCTTTAAATCAGGTAATGTTTATCCTTCAACTTAGTTTTCAGTTCTAGCCATTCTAGTCTTTTCCATTTTTATATAAACTTTATAAATTTTTACAAAAGAAAATAGAATGTTCAGAATTTTGTTTGGGGTTGTGATGAATCTATGAATTAATTTGAGTAGAATTGACATCTTAACAATACTGTATCTCCCTCAATTTATGGAAATAGTATCTCCCTCAATTTATTTATGCTTGCAATTTTTTCAGCAATGTTTTATAATCTTCAGTGTACAGTTTATGTGTCTTTTGTCATATTTATCTATGAGTACTTAATATTTTATGCCACTGTAAATGGTATGTTATATTTCAATTTCCTATTGATAATTGATAGTATATAGTAATATGATTAGTTTATGTATATTGATCTAATTCCAAAACATTCTACACTCACTTATTAGTAATGAAGAACTGATTATTTTTCTATAGGTTATGATACCTCTTCCAACCTTACTGTAAAGTCACAAGAACACCTAAAAAGGAATAATATGAGACTTAGTACCTCTAAAATCATCACCATCATCACCTTCTCTCTGATTATTCTAATAATTACATTGACCACAATTTTAACAGGTGAGTTTTCCATGTCCCAAACATGTTCATGTTAACTCTCCTATAAAAATTTCATCATATGTGTACCTTTCATACTTAAGTTCAGAATTAAAGGTCATTTCAGACATCTTTATGTATACAGAATAAGCATATGTTTTTTCTTCTATAACATGAGAATAATGGCTATATTAAATATTGTGAGGATAAAATTAACTTAATGCATATGAAATTTCCTTTGAAACAAGTATTATTTAGTCTTTATAGTGTATGGAGCTTGTGATAAAATGTAAGTCACCACACAGCTTCCTTCATTAAGAAAGTATCATTTTGAAAAAATATCAAATCAGGGGTGGGCAAACTTTTTGACTCGAGGGCCACAATCGGTTCTTAAACTGGACCGGAGGGCCGGAACAAAAGCATGGATGGAGTGTTTGTGTGAACTAATATAAATTCAAAGTAAACATCATTACATAAAAGGGTACGGTCTTTTTTTTTTTTTTTTTTTTAGTTTTATTCATTTTAAACGGGCGGATCTGGCCCGCGGGTTGAAGAAATGTCAAAAGACTAAGCAGTATATTTAGTGATTTAGTTAATAATGTGTCACAGGATCCTTATCTCACTGTAGACTCATAGTAAGAAGTTTGTGGAAGATTAGTTGTGGACTACTTTGCCCAAATATATAAATGTGACTAATTTTTTTCCTAAGCTGTTTCTAGTTGAGCTCTATGTCTATAAGGATGAAAACTGAGTTCAAGATACAAAATGTAATCTTTCTCTCTGGTTATGAAGTTTAAAATAATGGGTCAGATTTCTAAGTCCTATTCATAATTCACAACCAAGCATATGGGTATAAAGAATTGGTCAGGAGAAAAATTGTTGCTCTCCTAATAAGCACATTTTTACACAAAATATAAGTTACTTTTAAACTATAAAAGCAGCAAGACAGATCTCTCCTTTATGACAGTGAACTATGGACATATCTCCTATAAATAACTCAGAATATTTTGAGATGTTTGAAAATATATGCATAAGTATATTATAATATAGGTGTATATATATAAATGTGCATATCATTTATACATGAATGTTTGTATTATTCATGTGCATTTAATGTATACATTTATAAACTAATACACTGAAACATATTCTATATACATGTATACATACATGTGCACATATGCACGTCTAAATATGTTTATATAGAATGTAGATTATTAATTAACCTCATTCTATGAAGAAGGCATTAAGATATATAACTATATGTATATGCATAATTATATATGTACCTAGATGTATATATGTACATATGCTGTGTGCATATATATATACACACATATTTATGTATGTGTGTATAAATATATAAGTACATGTAATGTATGGGAATGAGTCTGATTGCCTAGGAATAGTATGTCACTTGATAAGAGCACCAAGCCTTAAATATGAGCCATAAGTACTACCTGAGTAGCATTCACCAAGAATTTCTTTCAACCTAGCAATAAAATAAATATATAAAATTAGGAGTTGTTCTCTCTTAGGGAACAATGTAAAGCATGAATAATGAAGTGTTTCAGATTGAAGAATCAAAGTGATCCTGGTGGATTTCATTCACATGGATAATTGTTTTAAATTCAGGACTTTTTACCCCCTAACTACTTAATATGTTTTAAAATAATTTTTTTTTTTTGTAGAAAGACACGAATCTTCCACTGAACACAAATCATGCCTGGATGACTGGATTGGTTACCTAGGAAAGTGCTTCTATTTTTCTGAAAATACAACCACCTGGGCAGCAAGCCAAAACTTCTGTGTCTCTCATGCAGCAACTCTTGCTGTGTTCAGCACCACAAAAGAACTGGTAAGGCAATACTTTTGAACTATAATTATCTTTCCAAGATTAGAGCTGGTCTGAAGAGTGCTACTGGAAGTGGGAATGTTCCAGAACAGACCTTCTTACCCAGCATAGGGGAAGCCCTATTTTCCACATCAACTCAGGCCATAAGAAGCAGCTCACAGCAGGCTCACCTACCTATTTTGTTCACCTACTTGTTTTTGTTCACCTGTTTGTTTTTGTTCACCTATCTATTTTATACCAAATGAAAGTTGCCTTTTGTGGAACTATATTTAAAAATAGTAAGTGAAGAGTCATAACAAACCATTTGTCAAAAATACTGGAAAGAATTATAAAATGAGTAATATAATTAATATCTGGGAACATTAGGGCACAGAATGGGTAAATGAAGAAACGTAAAAGCATGCAATACAAACTGCCCCTAAACCAGAAATAATAGAGATGTAGAATGTCAGGTGGTAAGAGACAGAAAAGTTAAGATCTTACAGAGCATGGGGATATATTTAACATTTGTTGAACACCTACTCTATGAAGAATAGACACATGAGGGATTGACCCAATATGAAATCAATTTTGAAGAACACTTTGGTGAAGATTTTAAAATGAAGATATGAAGGCAGCTGAGAAATAAAAATGAAATTATACATTTCATTCATTAAAATAGAAAATTATGAAAATAAAGCAGGAAATATGGGAAAGTATCAGGCCGGTATAAAAATAGAACAAAGGAAATAAATAGTTTAACTAAAAAGCATAAGAGAAAATACAGAAAAAGAGCACAAGAAAATAATCAGTGAGGATACACAAAGGCAAAACTATTTCTCTGAATAGACAGGACTGATCACAGAAAAGGAGAAAAGATATACCCATGCTAATACAAACAACTGAGATTTAAAAGCATATAATATTACAAATAATTTTATGCTAATAAATGTTAAAACTTTAAAGAAACAAATAATGTCTAAACAATGATTTAAATAACTAGAGGCCCAGGCACAAAATTTGTGCACAGGGGGAGGGTTCCCTCAGACTGGCCTGCGCCCTCTCCCAATCCAGGACCCCTCAGGGGATGTCCGACTGCCGGTTTAGGCCCGCCTAAACTGGCAGTCTCTCAATCCAAGACCGCTCGCCCCTAATCCCTCGCCTGTCTGCTTGCCCCTAACTGCTCACCTGCCTGCATGCTCAGTGTAGATCATAGAGACCAGTTGTTTCGGTCATTCCGGTCATTCCGCCATAACGGTCACTTAGGCTTTTATATGCATAGACTAGAGGCCCGGTGCACAAAAATTTGTGCACACGGGGGGGGGGGGGGCAGTCCCTCAGCCTGGCCTGTGCCCTCTCGCAGTCTGGGACCCCTTGGGGGATGACCACTTGCTGGCTAAGGCCTGCTCCCCTGGGGATTGGGCCTAAGCTGGCAGTCAGACATCCCTCTGACAGCCCGGCAGCCTTGGGGGATGTCAACTTGCCAGCAGGGAGCAGGCCTAAGCTGCAGTCGGACATCCTTAGCACTGCTGAGGAGGCAGGAGAGGCTCCCACCACCACCGCTGTACTAGCAGCCGTCAGCCTGGCTTGTGGCTGAGCAGAGCTCCCCTATGTGGGAGCTCACTGACCACCAGAGGGCAGCTCCTGCATTGAGCGTCTGCCCCCTGGTGGTCAGTGTGTGTCATTGTGACCAGTCATTCCCAGTCATTCTGCTGTTAGGGTCAGTTTGCATATTACCATTTTACTATATAGGATAGAGGCCTGGTGCACAGGTGAGAGCCGGCTGGTTTGCCCTGAAGGGTGTCCAGGATCAGGGTGGGGGTCCTGCATGGGTGCCTGGCCAGCCTGGGTGAGGGGCTGAGGGCCGTTTTCAGGCTGGCGGGCGACTGAAGCTCCCAACCTCTCCTTTTTTTCTTTTCTTTTTTTTATTCTGGGATTTATTTACCTTCTATGGCTGTAACTGGAGCTGAGAGCCGGCTCCAGCTCTAAGGCCTCTGCTGCTGAAAGGTATCTGGGATTTATTTACCTTCTGTAATTGAAACACTGTTACAGCTCCAGCTCTGAGGCCTCCGCTGCTGAAAGCAGATATCTGGGTTTTGTTTAGCTTCTATAATTGCAACATTGTTTCTTAGAGTGCAGCTCAGAGCCGGTCTGCAGCAGGCGGGGAACCTTCGCTTCCTCCATCACTGGAGCAAGCAAGCCTCCTGTTCACTTCAGCTGCCTGGCTGCCTGCCGCCATCTTGGTTGGCAGTTAATTTGCATATTGCCCTGATTAGCCAATCGGAAGCGTGTCAGAGGTATGGTAAATTACCATGTTTGTCTATTATTAGATAGGATTGTTTAGACAACCTAAAATTGGGATATGTATGATATGTATGAAAAATTAAATAGTAAGCATGAAAGAGTAAAAAAACAGTTCAAGTAAACTAAAGTATTCAAATAAAGACATAGAAATAGTATCAATCCAAATAGAATTTTCCTCCTAGTGTTATTGCATAAAAATTAAAATAAATATCTCATTTTGTAATGAAAGAAAAATCATCGATCCAAAAGAATTCAGAAAAGGTTAAAAAAAAGAGTAGAAAAATGGTCAGAAAACACAGAATTGATAAATTCAAATATAACATCAATTGTGATAAAATGTAAAAGTTTTTAATTTATCTCTTAAAAGACAAATATACCAGATTGATTTTAATAAAATAACAGAGTCCAGTTGGTGCTACTTACACAGACATAGCTAAGCATGTAGACACATGTGTGTGCATGCGCATACACACAGACACGAAGGAGATAAAGTGAGAGGAAAAGATATGAAAAGCAACTATTGACCAAACCCAAACCCAAATAAAACAAAAAAAGTTTGGTTAGTGCTAATATTGTCAGAAAATATAATGTATTAAAGTAAATTATGAACCTATATAAAACCTGAACAAACCAATAAATATTCAATATATTTTATGACTAACCAAAATTCTCCCATCATAAAAGGCACCAAGGCTAGGATGATTTACTGCAAAATTTGACCAAGCCTTCACAAAACAGATAATTTTTCTCTTATATAAAATTATTTTAGAAAAGAGAGAAATCTACCCAATGCAATTTATTATAGAAGTTGTTATAGAAGTAACACAACCCAAAACTAACCCATGAATCAAATAGGGACAATGTCACCTCCAAGATTATTCCAAATCTGGAAATCTGTATTTCGATAAAGAGTATAATGAATTAGGTGAAAGAAAATCCAACAGAAAAAGGCATTTTCTGTTTACTCTGTAAATATTCTTTATCAAAGGTTTTCCTGAAGCGATATTCTGAACAGTCTCAATATTGGATTGGACTGAGCCGAAAACGAGGACAGACCTGGAAGTGGATAGATGGAACCACCTACAGTGATTGGTATGTCCTGAGTATATAATTTACACACCTAACACTGGGATTCTGAGCCTTTCCCACCATGGAGAAATCTGGGTTATAAAATGAACCTAGAGAAAATGTGGTAACATAAAGTATTATACAAGTTACTTAACATCTATAATATTGTAAACACAATGCTTCATAATCATATCATTTGACCCTCACAATAACGCTGGGAAGTGAGTATATTTATTTCCATTTTAGATTTATAAAATTGATGTTCAACAATATTGAATAAAAAGAATATCTTGCAACACACATTTAAAATGTATCTATTTATATAAAAACCCTGGGTGTAACACATCACGTCCAAAGCTCGACCAACCGGAAGGAAGTCAGTCCTGCAGGGGTCGCCTGGGAAATGGCTGTGCCCTTCCTGAGCTGTTTCCCATGAGGGTAAGGTTTGAGGCAGGAACCTACCCTTGGACCGTGGATGCACTGAGTCCTGGGTCGTCTGGCCAAGGGCTGTGCCCTTCCTGAGCTGTTTCCCATGAGGGCAAGGTTTGAGGCAGGAACCAGCTTTCGGAGCTTGGACGAGTCCTGGGTCACATTGCCAAGGACTGCGCCCTCCCAGAGCTGTTTCCCGGGAAGGCGAGGTTTGAGGCAGGAAACAGCCCTTGGAACGTGGAGACATATCTTTATAAAGTTTCAATACATTATATTAGAGGTCATGGTGGTACTGTTTTACCCACAGCATCTACAGGAATTGCTGCAAATTTACTTCTCGGTGGAAGCACCTTTCATTCCCAATATAAATTACCCATTCCATTAAATGAAACTTCAATTTCTAGACTTGATATAAACAGTGAAGTTGCTAAAACTATTCAAAAGGCCCAACTTCTCATTATTGATGAATGCATCATGGCATCTAGTCATGCTATAAACATCATAGACAGATTATTAAGAGAAATTATGAATTTGAATGTTGTATTTGGTGGGAAAGTTCTTCTTGGAGGGGATTTTTGACAATGTCTCAGTATTGTACTGCATGCTATGTGATCAGCCATAGTACACATGAGTTTAAAGTACTGTAATGTTTGGGGATGTTTCAGAAAGTTGCCTTTTACAACAAATATGAGATCAGAGGATTCTGCTTATAGTGAATGGTTAGTAAAACTTTGAGATGGCAAACTTGATAGCAGTTTTCATTTAGGAATGGATATTATTGAAATCCCCTGTGAAATGATTTGTAATGGATCTATTATTGAAGCTACCTTTGGAAATAGTATATCTATAGATAATATTAAAAATATATCTAAACATGCAATTCTTTGTAAAAAAAAATGGGCAATTTATTCAACAGAAGATGCTGAAAAGGAAAATTTTGCCATCGAATTTCTTAATAGTATTACTCCTTTGAGAATGCCGTGTCATAAATTAAAATTGAAAGTGGGTGCAATCATCATGCTATTGAGAAATCTTATTAGTTAATGGGGTCTTTGTAATGGTACCAGATTTATTATCAAAAGATTACAACCTAACATTATTGAAGCTGAAGTATTAACAGGATCTGCAGAGGGAGAGGTTGTTCTGATTCCAAGAACTGATTTGTCCCCATCTGACACTGGGCTCCCATTTAAATTGATTCGACGACAGTTTCCTGTGATGCCAGCATTTGTGATGACTATTAATAAATCACAGGACAAATTCTAGGTAGAGTAGGAATATTCCTACCTGAACCAGTTTTCACACATGGTCAGTTATAGGTTGCTTTCTCTTGAGTTCGAAGAGCATGTGACGTTAAAGTTCTAAATACTTCATCACAAGGGAAATTAGTCAAGCACTCTGAAAGTGTTTCATTCTTAATGTGGTGTGCAGGGAGATATTAGAATAAGTTTAATCACTTTATCAGTCATTGTTTGCATCACTGTTGTTTTTATATCATGTTTTTGTTGTTTTCATATCATGTTTTTGTTGTTTTCATATCATGTTTTTGTTGTTTTTATATCATGCCTCTGTTGTTATATCCTTTTGTTACTGTTTATTTATTAATAAATTTATATATTATTTTCATATACATTTTACTAATTTTCTTTCATTTCTCACACTTCTATTATAGAGAAAGGGCAAATAGCAATATTAAAATATTTCCTCTAATTAATTCCCTTTTAATGTGCATGAATTTCGTGCACTGGGCCACAAGTTTCACAGTAAGCCCTGAATTTCATCATACAGGAAACATTTTAGGCCAGGCAAGGCATATGCATTCAGTTTGCTTTATATTCAAATAATATGGTGTTGGGGTTAGAGTAAAAGTACACATCAGAGGAAATTATTTTCTCTAAGTCTTCCAATAAGTATTCCTTCATTCTATATCCTTTTTATTCTTTGGTATTTTTTTTCAGGTTTGAAGAAATCAGTGATGGAGAATGTGCCTATCTACACAAAACTGGGATTAGTGGTTCCAGTACCCATTTGGTTAGAAAATGGATTTGCAGCAAACAGGACTCATGTATTCCAAGAAGTTAAGACATCATAGACCTAAGATCTTTTGCATAAAATATAGCTTTTATTCTCCTTATAAGAAATATGTTATATTAACATAAAAGTACATGAAATTAATGTTTAGACATTTTTATTAATGTTTCACTCTAAATCTCTAAATTAATTTGTTATAAATTTACTAGATTCTTGGCATTCAAGAAGTATACACCTCAGCATCTATAAAAGTTCCCAAATTTTATAGAATAAAATTTCTTATATGTAATACATTAAAATATGAATGAACAATTTAAATGACATTATAAGATGTAATCATATGAATTCAGACTAATGTCATTTAAAATTACTTGTTTTATAAAAAAACGATGATATTTTTGCAGTCTCCCTGCTTTTATAATCAATAACCATTGGTTGGTTTTCTTTTAATTTTGCAATATTTGCATTACTTTATGAGATTCACTCATGAATTCAGTGTAATCCAAACACAATAGCAGTGTTTAAATTTGTTGATTTATTATATTAAAAAATCTCTTTCACACACCAACCTCACAGCAAAAAAATAAAGCAATAATAAGGTTTCACATTCAGAACATCATGTGAGGGGCCTTCAAGCTTCTGAGTAAACAGTCTTGAACTAGGTGTGTTCTATTTATGAATGCCAATAACTTATTGCATAATGGGAAAATAGATAATAAGCATTCAGTGGGTAGATGGGTGGGGGACTGGGTTTGAATTTTGCTGCTCAATTTTTTCTCTATTTGAGAAAACAAATTAGGTTCTGCATCATACTGCATACTTCTTAGAGGATATTGTCTTTATATTTACTCAACATTACCAATTTCCCTTTGTAAAACAATCCTTTTCTAAAAGTTCTTGTGAAATCTGTGATCTGCATCCTATGGATGCTTAATGTATATTCATTGATAAAAGTTTGAATTATTGTAACAGAACACATATTGAAGATGGGACTAGTAATAATTTGGGAACTAACTTAGTAAAGTTTCTTATCTTTTTTTATAGACCATAATAAGTTTTTCGTCTTTTTCCCCTCCCTCTTCACCCTCATTTTCACTTTCTTTTCCTCTCTGTACTTCCCCTTTTCCCTCATTCCTTATATTGATTTTTTAAAGAGAGGAAAGGAGAGTGATAAAAAGATAGAAACATCTATGAGAGAGAAACTTCATTGATTTGCTGACTGCCTCCTGCTCGCCCCCTAGTGGAGATCGAGCCCACAACCAGGCATGTGCCCTGACAGGGGAGGAAATTTCCTTTCTAATTGAAATCAACCATTTCATGAGTCTTTAGAAAACTCATGACTTTGTTTTTAAGGTCTTTATTTTGACTATATTCTTAAGGTCTTTATCAGACTGTATAGTATTATTACTACATCATTCTCCTGTATCAGGAATAAATAAAATTATTTTTATTGAAAACTAGAATGTAAGAAAAGGATGACAAGGAACTTGGTATTACATCTACAATTAGTTTAGAAAATTAGACACTGAATAGATGAACCTTCAACATGTCATTACCAAAGAGAGTAAGACGTTCAAAAATAAATGCATATAAGATATATGAAAGGTTCAGTGACAACACATGGAGAAAATGTCCAAAACTTGAGAAAGAGGATCCTAGCAAAATTCTTACAGAGAAAATATTTTTAAGCTGACAATTAAAGAAAGTGGTAGTTTTCCAAGGAGAAAGTTCTCTGGAAGAATGTTTGTGAGGGTACCAAGTATTGCATAATTGAGAAATTATAATAGTCTGAAAGCATGGGAACGAGAGGTATGAGAGGGCAGAGAACAAGATTTGGGCTTGAGAGAAGGTGGGAGGGTTATATTTAGGGGAAATTATACTCCATGCTAAGGGAAGTTTATTCTTGATTCCATAGGTTATTGCTCTAAAGTTATTGAAGACTTATACCCAGGATAATATTGCCTTCAAATATAAAATTTAGAATAACTCTCATGGCAATATAAAACCTCTCTGATGGACCAAGAAATGATATAGAAGGTTGTCCAGAAGGTTGTCTAGAAGAAGAAATAGGCATTTCAGAAGATAGAGATGTAGCAATACTCTGAAATATAAGATCTGCAAAACTTCTCATACTGAATATTTTCTAAGCTCAAATAGGAAAATATATTAATACTTCTTTGCTCTTTCAATTATATCTTCACTAGAGGCCAGGTGCACAAAAATTTGTGCACTCTGAGGGGTCCCTCAGCCCGGCCTGTGCCCTCTTGCAGTCTGGGACCCCTCAGGGGATGTCCACCTGCTGGGATTGGGCCTAAGCTGACAGTCAGACATCCCTCTGGCAGCCCGGGAGCCCTCGGGAGATGTCCACTTGCCAGCAGGGACCAGGCCTAAGCTGCAGTCAGACATCCTTAGTGCTGCTGAGGAGGCGGGAGAGGCTCCCACCACCACCGCTGTACTGGTAGCCAGCAGCCTGTCTTGTGGCTGAGCAGAGCTCCCCCTGTGGGAGTGCACTGACCACCAGGGGGCAGCTCCTGCATTGAGCGTCTGCCCCTTGGTGGTCAGTGTGTGTCATAGTGATCAATCATCCCCAGTTGTTCTGCTGTTAGGGTCAATTTGCATATTACCCTTTTATTATATAGGATAGAGGCCTGGTGCGTGGGTGGGGGCCGGCTTATTTGCCCCGAAGGGTGTCCCGGATCAGGGTGGGGGTCCTGCTTGGGTGCCTGGCCATCCTGGGTGAGGGGCTGATGGCTGTTTGCAGGCTGGCCACGGCCCCCAGCCACCCAAGCTCCCAGTGGAGGCTGGCTGGAAGCAGGTATCTGGGATTTATTTATCTTCTATAATTGAAACTTTGTTTCCTTGAGTGGAGGCTACAGCCAGCCAGGGCAGGCGGGAAGCTTGGCTTCCTCCATCGCCGGGGCAACCAAGCCTCCTGCTTGCTCTAGCTCTGTGGCTGCTGGCCACCATCTTGGTTGGGTTAATTTGAATATAGTCGCTCTGATTGGCTGGTGGGCATGGCTTGGGCATAGCAGAGGTGCGGTCAATTTGCATGTTTCTCTTTTATTAGATTACATTGTATTAGCCCTCTTTATAATAGAGCAACAATGTTAAGAATCTTTTGTTATGACTCTACTTTTATTGTAACTAATGCTATTCAATATTTAACATTAAGCCCCTTGCATGAATTTTGTACAAGGGTCTTGGCCCTCATAGCCCCCGCTTCATCCAGAAGGTCATCTGGAAGGTCGTTTTGCTGTCTGGCTTAGACAATTAGCATATTATGCTTTTATTATTATGAATAACATAGATTTTAAAGTGTCTGTCTTGAGTTTATTAATTAATACTAAAATAAAGTTGTTAGTTTAAAACCAATTGATGTTTTGGTGTGTGTGTGTGTGTGTGTGTTTTTTCAATAAAATCACAAATATACTCATATCTCTCTTGTGGGATAGTAATAGGTAATTATGCCTAGAAGTGCATATCTCTAAAATTCTGGAAAGACAACTTTAAGATTTAAAGCTTTTTATACTTGAATAAAATTTTTGTTATACTTTTAAGTAGTGTATATAGTAGAGGCCCGGTGCATGACGATTGTGCACTTTTGCGCGGGGGGGGGGGGGTCCCTTAGCTTGGCCTTATGCCCTCTCACAGTCTGGGAGCCCTGGGGGGATGTCCAAATGACTGCCTGGGGGACTCCAGGGGAAGCAAGCTTAAGGTGCAGTCGGACATCCTTAGCCCTGCCACAAAGGCGGGCTGTGGAAGTGGGCCACTGCGCTCACCAGCTGTCATCCCGGCTTGTAGCTGAGTGGCACTCCTTCTGTGGAAGTGCACTGACCACCAGGAGACAGCTCCTGAGTTGAACATCTGCCCCCTGGTGGTCAGTGCCCATCATAGTGACCGGTCATTCCACCATTCAGTTGATTTTCATACTACCCTTTTATTATATAGGATGTGCACTTAGTTTTAAGTGTAAATGTATACATGTGTATGCATATATACTAAGTATAAATAAAGTATGAAAGTATCATGTTAATTTTATAGTAATTAGTAGGAAAGCCAAAGTGTTCAAAATAATTGGGTATAAGTGAGGAAAAAAGATATCAGGAACATAATCTTGTTATTTTGTGAGATTAAATATAGATACTTTATTTTACTTAAGAGATGCTTACTTGGAAATGGGAATGCTAAATCAATTGATGTAAGATATCTATGGACATATAGTCCCAGAATAGTAATGTAATCTTTATGAACAATTTACTATTAAGGGCTTATTGATTGATTCTTTTATCTTTTTGAAGTTCTGTTTTTGGTTTTGTCAAAGCAATACCCAACATGCACCTTAGTCTTACACCCTTGAGTTGACATATCATTCAATGTACATTTTAACTATTAAACACAATTTGCTTGTCTTTGGGGAAATAATCAAACTATTTTCTGGGAATTAACAAAGAAATTCAGTAGGAAAATAATAATAATGGCAGAAAGGGAGCTCACAGAACAGTAAAGAAGAAAAGTAGTATGGAGAGTTCAAGCTCCTTTGCCAGGGATGTTCAAACATGTTCATCCACTCTGCCGAACTGGCTACTTAGGAAATCAACAACCAACGTTGAAAGGGTGTCTTTAAATAAGATGCACCTTACCATACTGTCAGAGAGAAACATGTTGGGAGTGGTAAGTGTGCCCATATAACTTGTCATTTACTTATTTTCACACTTTTAACCTACCTATCATTAGATCATTTTTTTTTTTTTGGTTGTTAGAGGTAATGTGTCAGATAAGCTGAAAAATAGTTAACATAGTATAAAACTTTTCAAAGAAGGTAAAAGGACCAAGACCAACAGGAGCAGAAAATGACATAAAAGACTTCAGGAGTAAAGGAATCTAAGCTGTTTTTCCTTTCTTGGGGAAAGAGGCAGATATGACACTCAGCTATAATAGGAGTCTAAGTGGGAAGTTGGAAGTGGTCTCATTGAAGCCCTTACCTACTGAAACCATAATTTCCCCCACTTGCAAACAAGCACATAAACCCATAAACACACATTCATTCCAAAAGAATTCTAAACTTTAAAGATAAAAACTTTTGAAGTGTCGTAAATTATAATTGTCTCATTTATTCCTGAAGCTTTTTCCACTAAGAATCTTCTAATTTACATTATTTAATATGCTTCCTTCTCAACAACTAGGATTACTATATAATTAAAAATATTAATTTGGAGAACTGTGACATCTAAGAATGACTTTGGTTGTTATGATTCAGTTAATCTGCTGATTCAAAAAATATAGACATATCTATACTAATAAAAGGGTAATATGCTAATTAAAGCAGACGTCTTCCAGATGTCCATCCAGACAAAGCCACAGCCGCTGTGAGGGCCTAGGGCCGGCGCCGCATGGGAGAGGTGGGCTGGTCCAGCACTGCCAGTCCAGCACCACAGCCCCTTTTGCAGAGGCGGCGAGAAGGTGGCGCCATGCCCCTTCTGTAAAGGTGGCGCGGGACAGGCTGCAGTGTGGCCCGGTCCCAGTGCTGCCCTTTCTGCAGAGGCAGCCACAGAGGCAGCAGCATGGGCCCGGTCCAGGCGCCAAAACTCAGCAGAGGCTGGACGGTGTGCAACCTGCTGTGCCTCAACCTCCCATAGCCCCTCCCACAGCCGCCCTGGCCCCAGATTGTCCCCCACCCACCAGTGGGCTGGGAACAGGGCCAGTGCTAAGAAGCAAGAGCCGAGGGCTGGCCACTGAGGTAGCCAGCAGTGGCAGCAGCAGCAGGGTGATGGGGGCAGCGCCTTTCTCTGATCATCCTGGTTGCCTCTCACAGAGGAGGACATCCCCTGAAGGCTCCTGGACTCTGAGAGGGATCAGGCCGGGTTGAGGGACCTCCTCACTCCAGTGCACAAATTTTCATGCACCGGGCTTCTAGTAGATATATAATGGAAATAATAAGACGAGCTTTGATTTTTATTAGTCATGGCTAATTAAATTCACAGTAGCTTTTAGAATTCTAATATCAGGTATTTGCTTGTAAACATGTCTTTACGTGAAAACTCAATTTTAAAAATTCAAAGAAAAATATTTTCCATGAATAATCCTCAAATAAAAATAAAAAAGAAATAAATGAAGCCAAACTAATTTTTAAACTGTTTTTAAATGTTTTAATATTTAATTATTTAAATGCTTAAGTCAAAATAGTTTCAAAGAACATTGAAAACTTGGTTTTAAATATTTGAGGTCCTCACATCTCTTACTCTTCTATTATTTTTTCTTCTCTTTCAATTGTAACTTTTCTTCAATCATTTTTCCACATTTCTCAAATGTCCACCTTAGTAAAGTAGTACATATACTAAATAAACATAGTTCTGTGTTCCTTGTATTTAATTTTTTAAAGTGAGTTGAAGGTTTTCTATTTCATTTCCTATATACTATAATTACTTCTGTTCACACAAATGTATTTAAAATAAATATATTTTTTTAAATGTTGCTATATCATTTAAGTTTTACTCTTAGTGGATCTAAGGCTTTAAAGTAGGTTTCCCATTGGTAAACTTATATTTAATTAGCAAACATTAATGTAGCTATGTCTCTGCTCCAAGTTTCAATGTAGGTTCTAGGTTAAAAACAAACAGCAAACCAGGAAAACTGTATTTATTAAAGCATATAAACCTAACACTGACCTTTATTTTTATTTTTTAAATAGACTGGTACCCTAATCGATTTTGCTCAGTGGATAGAGCATCAGCCTGCAGACTGAAGGATCCCAGGTTCAATTCCAGTCAAGGGCATGTACCTTGGTTGCGGGCACATCCCCAGTGGGGGGAGGGGGGGAGGTGCAGGAGGCAGCTGATCAATGCTTCTCTCAGTGATGTTTCTAACTCTTTATCCCTCTCCCTTCCTCTCTGTAAAAAATCAATAAAATATATTTTTAAAAATAAAAATAGAGTGGTTTACTTCTCTATGTGTAGGTTATGCTTATCTACACTACAGAAAGAGCTGCATAACTACTAAAAGTTGGGCTCTGGAACTCATAGAGCATATTACAAATACATACTCAATAGCATAAAAGGTGCTTATTTATCATTCATTATACATCATTATTCCAAACAATGATAAGGATTATTGACCTTACATAGCTTACAGGTCATTAAGAAACAATTTAGTAAACAATGGCCAAAAAAAGAAGGTACTAGATGATTAGATTAGATAAGTACAGGGAGCTATGAAAATATGTACCAGCTCCATATAATGTAGTCGGAGTGGAGAATGGTCAAGGAAGTATATTCCTCTAAATGACATTTAATCGGCACCTGAAAAATAAAAAGTTAAAAAGGTGAGTAATAAAGGGAAAAAAACAAAGTTTGTTAAACTGTGTCAAACAATAAAATTAGAGGCCTAAGAAAGCATGACACATTTAAGGAACTGAACAGTTTAGTGTGTCTGCGTCATTACATACATGGAAGTGGGGGAGGAATGAAGAGGAGCCAAGACACGCAGGGTCTGGTAGAAGCCAAAGAAGGGTTTAAGCAGTGAAAAGCCACTGAGCGGAATTAGGTAATGACTAATGTAACCTGATATGAGGATTAGAGAGTCACTACGTCATAATATGCAGAATGGATACTGGCAGACTAAACTGGAAACAAACAAAAAGATTATTGCAGTAATCTAGGGTAATATGGAGACATGAGGGTGAATTTCAGAAATACATCTGTAGTAAAATTGAAAGGACTTAAATTAGTGTTTGAATATTGAGGGTGAAAAAAAATGGAAGAAGTCATGGTTGACTCCAAGGACTCTGGCTTAGACTGGTGTGGGAATGTTCCTGTCATTAAGTTAGTGGAGATTGAGGGGCCTTGAGATGTTCAAATAGAGATACCTGATAGGTAATCCACTGTAATAAGATCTAGGCTAGAAATGAGGGCTTGGGAGTTATCAATAAATTGAGGGAAATTAAAATTATGGAGTGGATGAGTTCAGACAAGAATTGTGTGTGATAGAGGATCCACACAAACTCTGAGGAACAGAAGAGGAAAAGACACGACAGAAAAGACTGAGGAAGAATAGCTGGAAAAGTAGATAGAAGTTCAAGAGGGTCTTATGTCATAGATCCTGAGGTTAGTGAATATTTCTGAATGAAAACACAGGTCAACAATGAGCAAACTTGATAGTTAAAATGAAAGTTAAAAAGTTCTCATTATATTTAACCAGAAGAAAGTCATTGGTGACATGGTGAGAGCACTTTGGTGAAACAGTAGAAAAAGCAGAAGCCAAATTTCAGAACTTGAAGTGGAAGGTAGGAAGAGGAAAAAGGAAAATCAACATTTTTAGGAAGTTTGACTTATAAGAGGTGGTAAAATACATGGGCAGAAACTAGAAACCACATGTGGCTGAGGGCAAGTTTTCTTGTAGTTGCTGATAGAAAAGGAAACAAGAGCAAGAGATTAGAGAGGAGGTAATCAACAAAGGGATTTTCTTGAAAAAATTAAAAGGGATGTAATTTTGACTGTAGACTTGTAGATTTTATTTAGACAGAAAGAGGAATACTGTTTTAATGGAGACAGGAGAAGAGGAAAAAGTATTAAGATGCAGACAAATATGTAGACTCAATGGTAGAAAGTTCAGGAATATATTATCTAATGTCTTCTCTTAAAAAAAAATGAGCAAAAAAATAAACTCCTCTGTTAATGGTGACTAAGAGGTGCAGGGAGAGAATCACTGAGGAGATAAAAGAATAATTTCTGTCTGAAACAGCCACTATCATGAATGGAAGATGACTATGGAAATACAGTTTGAGTGACCAGGTAGAACCAAGAACTCAGTTGAGGCTGATTGCCTGTATTTATAATGACACAAATTGACACCAGTATCATCAATATCACCAAAATTTTTTTGTAGAAACAAACTGTTTTTACAAAATTGCATAAATAAAGAATATCTGTGGACATTTTTTAATGGGAAGCATACCTATGATTAATTTAGAGGTCATCGCCTGAAGAAATCACGTTTTGACAAATATGGTAACTATGAGTTTGACATGTTTCAGAAAAAACACCCTTCTTTGTTATCACAGCACAGGCATTGTCTTCATCCTTGCTCTTGACTTCACATCTGTAGAGGAAAAGGCACATTGTTCTCACTCTGCTGAAAGCACAATTGTGTGTATTTTGTGTGTTTTCTCTCTTCTTAGAAAGAATGTACTATTCTCCAAGCTGGAGGTCTAAGACATTGTAATATTCAGACAAGAAATGCACAGTAAACAAAGACTTATCTAATGAAGAAATTGCTCCAAATAGCTTTTTAACCCAAAATGGTCACTTGTAAATAGAAATACTATGTGGAATAAAAATGTGAATAAGAAAGACTGGTTTCCAAATGCCATTTGATTATTGAATTCTATTATCTTATTCCTTAGAATTTTTAATTATTAGAATCCTTTTAGTAAAAATGAGGATTATTCTATAACTTTTGAGAAACATTTCATAAGAATTAAATTTAGACAATTTTATGTTGACTACAATTTTTATTTATACCTCTAGTGTTATAGGTAAACTAAAAGAAAATGCAAATATGAAAATAAATTAGCTTAGAAGCCTTCATTTCTCTAAGGAAAACTTCCTACACACACATTAACAAATATCAAATTCTGCAACCTACTAGTATAAGAACCAGTTGTCTATCTAGAGTTTCTGAAAGCCCCCAGTAGGGATTGGCTGCTGAGCTTTTATATATCCCAATGGTATTCAAATGTCAAACACTCACAACTGTGGATTTAATGGGGTGCCATCCAGCCAGGTCCATGTCTTTTGTGGATATGTAATGTTCAATCCAATCCAAAAGTAGATTCCATCTTGTATACTATTTTGTATGAAATCCTGTGAAAAGGGATACAGAGAAAATTAAGTGAGTTACACCTATTAAAACAGTCTCTTCTACTTTTTTCCATCTGTTAAAGGTTTTGATATTTATCTCCCTAATCAGGAAAATCTTAGGAAAGTTAAAGATGTTTTCTACATATGTAGGCAAGGAAATCAATGTAGGAAGAAATTCAAAATACATGACTTTATATGAAAGCATGCACTGCTTAATGGAACTCATGAGGATGGTGATATAAACAGCAACTGATGAAAGGGTGAAAAGAAGATATGAAGCAAAAACGAGGAATGAATAAGTCTGTTTAAAGAAGCAAGAACTGTACATGGATTGCTCTGTCTACCAATGTGCAATCTTGTAGAAGACTGAAGCTTATGGTGAAGCTTCACACAAATGAAACAAGAGCCCTATATTTCCTACCCAATATATTAGGATATTGCCAAATATTTGTAGTGCTTTTGATGAGTACCTCAAAGAGCTCCTACCTTTCTCTCCAAAAAAGATGGCATGGATATCCTAGCTTTGTCATTTACTTAGGAAGTGAAATAAGACAAGTTTATAAAAACTGTCAAGTTCTGCAGATTCTTATGAAAATGAGGAAAATATCATCACCTATGTCATAGGTTATTGTAAGCACTAAGTTATATAACATTTGTAATGTGTCTACCATAGTTCCTGCCATATGATAGGAATTCAATAAATGGCTATAACTATTCATCTATAATTCCTGGATTATGAAATGTACCTATTTCTCCCAGTTTTCATTTTATTTATTTTTTTCTCTCCCATAGTATAGTTTTTCACTCATAGTGAATTAGCTCTTACCAGTTCAGCCTTGTCTTGGATCATCAAGAGTTGTGATTTCATTCTTAAGCAGAATTGTTGGCTATCAGTCCATGAATTAAAAGTTTTAAAAAAGTTATAGCATTTCCCTTTCTCCTGCACCCAGTCATTAGGGCATAAGTTTAGTCTAGGATTTCCTGAAATGAAAACATAGGAAAAGTAGGAATGAGAACAAGGTGTGAATATAAAAAAACAGTTTTTGCACTAATTTTATAAACTGTTTTCTTAAAGTTAACTATTTGTCCCACTTTCAAGAAAGAAATTCCTTCTCTACTGATTAATAATCTTTAGAAGAGATACATGCAAGAAATATTCAGTTATTATTTGTTGAGTTATTACTACATCAAGTAATTCTCTGAATTTTTATGTACATGAATACATAAAATGTTTTTTTCTGTAAGAAACATACAAAATCCATGAAATGATTAACTCCATGTTCCTCATTTTGTAAATAAAGATACTAAAGGTTAAAGTTAAGCGAAGTTAAATATAAACTTGGAAACTAAAGGTTGAATGACTTACTCAAAGTTATATAACTAATAAGTGGTGGGCATAGGGAAATTTAAAGTAAAACAGAGAGCTTGAATGGCATCACAAGAAAACTACTGTGGAAAAAGAAAGTCATTTTCAGAGTCCTTTTTAACTGCAGAAGAATGTATTTCATAACACACTGTATTAGCGACTTTGTAAAACAAATTGTTCAACATGACCCCACTATCTATGTGCCTCAATGGCCGCCAGACTTATCTCTGTAAAAAGGGAAAAGGTGGAATAGGTATTAAAATAAATCTATACTCAGAAATGAGTACAAAAGGTTTCAACTGAACTAACATTTTCTATTTTAAGTTAAATCATAGGTACATAAGTATTGGTTGTATTCTATTTAAATGTTTATATCTTAAATATTGCATATTATTTTTAAAATATCCACAAGTTTTTATAAAAACTTACCTGTTATTCTTATATTAAGTGAGATAACCATGAAAATATAAGATACTGTATAGAAAAGTTAGTTATTACCATTAAAGACTATGGGAGCTCTTTGGGAGACCATATGAGAAATCATATTATTTCAGGAAAACATTAATACTAAGTTTATGTTTTGAATCAGCAAAGCATCTTGATTCTTTACAACCCTTTTCCCAAGGCATTTTATTTTATAAGTAATAACAACAAAGTGTATTGAAATAGTGTATTAATAAGCTAGGCTTTAACTGCAATGGCCGGGAAAAATATCCAACAAGACACCGAAGACCAAAGCTAGAGAAAAATTTTAATTTTGCTGATATTCAGTATCATAAATTATTGACAGAAATAAATAACTTTAAGGTCTCACTCTTATTCAGACATTGGCCATGATATGCCCTTTGTGATGGTAGCATTTAGCTTCTGCAGTAAAGCATCAATTATTCACTTCACTCTTTTTTTTTTTCTTGCCTGAAAGTCACATACCACAGCAATAGAGAAGTCCATGCTTCTGCCAGAACAGTACAAAGAAAATAGGTTAAACTATTGAAAATTAACTACTGGGGATCTAGCCTGCAACCCAGGCATGTGCCCTGAACAGGAATTAAACCAGTGACCTCTTGGTTCATGGGTTCGACGCTCAACCACTGAGACACACCAGCCAGGCGTCAATAAATAATTCTTGAGTGCCATAATGCTGGGATCCCCCACCCCCCATCAAGAGAAGGCCTCCAAATGGTCCAGAAAAGCCTAGAAAAGTACATGTATGGAGAGGAATATCAGAATTAACATAATAAGGAAGTACTTTGTTGACCTATTAAAGAGATGTGATGTGAAGACTAAAAATAAAAAAAAAAGAAGTCATAAGGGCAACCATAAACTTGCACATTAAACTTTAATATTGTTTTTTTTTGTTTTTTTTTTAATATATTTTATTGATTTTTTACAGAGAGGAAGGGAGAGAGATAGAGAGTTAGAAACATCGATGAGAGAGAAACATCGATCAGCTGCCTCCTGCACATCTCCTACTGGGGATGTGCCCGCAACCAAGGTACATGCCCTTGACCGGAATCGAACCTGGGACCTTTCAGTCCGCAGGCCGACGCTCTATCCACTGAGCCAAACCGGCTTCGGCTAATATTGTTTTTAAATATTAAATTTTATATTGTTTTTAAAATATGTTTTTACTTATTTTAGAAAGAGAGGAAGGGAATGGGATAGAAAGACATAAACATCGAAGAGAGACATCATCAATTGGCTGCCTCCTGCACAGTCCCTATTAGGATTGGAGCCTGTATATTGTATTCTATCACTCTTATAGCCATTGATAGTTAATGATAATACATTTGTTAATTATCCAAACTTAACATAAGGACTGGAAATATATTTTAGTATAATTCTTTGTATTTAGACTGTGCAAACATTTATAGTTTGGGGTATATATTTTACTTAAAAGTTAGTTGTAACTTATGAGAAAATGTTAACTTTTATCCTCACCGAGAGAGGGAGAGAGAGAGAGAGAGAGAGAGAGAGAGAGAGCTGTTGTCTCCCATATGTGCCCTAACCAAGGATTGAACCAACAACCTAGGTATGTCCCCTGACCTAAATTGAACCTGCAACCTTTTGGTTTACGGGACAATGCTCCAACCAACTTGAGCCACCTGGACAGGTGAGAAAATGTTAACTTTTATTTTACAATAAGCACATATAATAAGAAAAAAATAAGCACCCTAATGTTTTTTAAAAAGGGAGCAACAATGATTAATAGGCAATTTATGTAATAAAAATTATAAATATCCAACATTTGATTTTACATTTAATTTCCCTATTATATAAGAAGTGCAACTAAAGTCAACCATGATTTTATCATGATTTTTATCATATTATATTAGCATGTATAATCTAAACTGTGTGTGTGTGTGTGTGTGTGAAGGTTTCAGCAGGTAAGAAGATGAAATGGAGAAATAAATATTCAAAAGAGATGTACTTTCTGATAGTAGCACAATTTACAATAGCTAAGATTTGAAAACAGCCTAAGTGCCCATCAGCAGATGAGAGGGTTAAAAGACTATGATACATCTTCACAATGGAATATTATGCAGCTGTGAAAAAGAAAGAACTCTTACCATTTGCAACAGCAGGGATGAACCTGGAGAGCATTATGCTAAGCAAAATAAGTCAGTCAGAGAAAGATAAGTATCACATGATCTCACTCATATGTGGAATCTAATGACCAACATAAACTGATGAACAAAAATAGACCCAGAGACATAGAAACATCAGATTGTCAAACCTCAGAGGGAAGGCAGGGGAGGGTGGAGGGGGGGAAGAGATCAACCAATGAACTTATATGGGTATAGGCATACCCCAAGGACACAGACAATGGGTGGTGAAGGTTTGGGAGTGGGGGAGAGAGGGCAGAGGGCAATGGGAGAAAAAAAAGGGACATATGTAATACTTTGAACAATAAAGATTTATTTTAAAAAGAGAGAGATGGGCTTGATCAGCATGAATGATTCAAAGTTGAGAGAGTATGCTGCCTCATTACTTCATAGAGGTTTGTTTTGCTGGAGACTAGTACAAAGGAGAGCTCTGTGTTGTGAGAAAGTAGACTGCTAGTATAGGAAGTGAGGACTCAGAGGACATTGTAGAATATGTTAATGTGCTTCGGCTTTATTCTAAGGACTACGGAAAGTGATTATAGAGTTTTAACAACAGGAACGCCCCGGCCACTGATCTGCATTTTCGAAAGATCCTGCTAGCTGAAGCCTGGAGAATGAACAGATAGCTCCTCGCAACTCCCTTCTTCATGAGATGCAGTGATCGCCAAAGACCTTACAATTAAATCTTTTGACATTGTAATTTTTAAAGAATGACGTAAAACATCTTAATTGCATATTAAAATAAATAATAAGTACAAAAACAGTAATCACTATAGTATAGATGTGCCATCTAATGGAAAAAAAATAAGCATTTTAAGTACTAGTATAATGTCCTTGGGAAGTAAAGGGCAATCTTATCAACAAAACTAGTGTAGGCCAATGTGTCTCACATTTTTCACCAAATCATCTCTAATGATAAAAGACAATGAACTTGTTCCTTAAATTCCTATGCACAATATCCTGAAAAATTCATTTCATCTTAAATTTTCATGCAACTATTACATTCTAACCTTTACTGTATTTGTGAGCTAGATTTAATACATTATTTAGATTACTTTCCATTAAATCATATAAATAATGCCTCTTGCAGGAAGCTACTGTAGACCTTTGTTAGAAAAGATTGTATTGGTTCAAACTGCAGGTGCTGTGCCATATAACTATCCTTACAATCCCACACATTGATCATGAGATTCTTGAGAGCAGAAAATTTTTCTCAAATTTCTTGTCATCTTGTCAGTAAAATAAGTATTTTGTATACATCTAATCCTATATAATAAAAGGCTAATATGCAAATCGACCAAATGGCAGAACTACCCATCGCTATGACATGCACTGACCACAAGGGGGCAGACGCTCAATGCAGAAGCTGCCCCCTGGTGGTCAGTGCACTCCCTCCAGGGGAGCACCGCTCAGCCAGAATCCCTGAGCCAGGCTCAGGGCTGGCGTGTATAGTGGCAGGAGCCTCTCCCACCTCCACAGCAGCACTAATGATGTCCAACAGCCAGCTTAGGCCCACATCTTATGGGAAGCAGCCCTAAGCTGTCAGTTGGACATCCCCTGGGGGCTCCTGGATGCAAGAAGGCACAGGCCGGGCTGAGAGACCCCCCTAGCCACCCCGAGTGCATGAATCTCATAAGGATATAAAGTCAAATAAATAAATTAAAAATTTGGACAATGGGAAGAGATAGACAGTGGTAGGTTTGTTGCCAAGGGGATTACATACTTGAAGTAGGGGCAAGTTGGCTATTGGAGACAGTGGTATTTGAGAAAAGTTTTAGCAACAGTAAGGTAAGCAAGTCAGCAGTAAGCATAGTCTAAGGAGTGAACCTGAGCAGATTTACAGAAGGCCGAATGGGAGGGAAAGATTGAAGTAAAAAAAAAAACCATCTTCAAAATATTGAACGGTATCTGAATACTCCAGACAAAAATATTTCATTTTGGTATAAGAATTACTTTAAGCTAAAGACATTTGAGATTCAGCAGATGTTCCTCTGAGTTACTCTGACCTGACTGAAAGCAGAAAATTCTGAGAAACGAGGGGGCCATAAATTTTGTCTTTGGGGTGATTTATTCTCAGGAAAAAGACTGAGAGGAAACCCACAGTAAGCCCACTCTCTGGGAAGTTCTATGGTCATGAAGAAGAGAGAAAGACTAATTTCACCAGCACTAACAGACACTGTCACATACTTTCTGCAGTTTGTACTTCTTAAAAAAAACACTTACCTTTCCTAAAGAAAGGAGCTTTGCCCATGGGAGTCATCTCTTCCCCCGCTTTTCCTCTCCTAAATTAGGTATATGAGGCTTTAACTTCAAGCATTTTGAGCTAGCCACTTCTTTTGTTAGTTCCAGTATGCACATAAATAAACATTTTTCTCCTGTTAATTGTCCTTTTGTCAGTTTAATTCACAGTCCCCCAAGTTTTAACTTTAGAGGGTAGAGGGAAAGCTTTTTCTTCCCTACAATATAATGAAATAGAATCACTTACTTGTGAAATTTGCATTACATTCTCTGGTTCCATTTCCACTGAAGGACCGTAAGTTTGGGTGACATACTAATTTAAGAAAAAGAATAACACTAATTAGATTTCTATAATTATAAAACTGTGTCTTTTAATTATCCATTAAAATGAGCCTACAAGTGAATGCATAAACTTCTGGTTGAAAGTAAGTCTGTTTATAGTATTTCAACCCTCTAATTTAACAAAGAATTGATTATTTAGAGATAGATTTCCACTTGTAAAAAAGTAAGTAAAAACAAAAAATAAAACAAATTAAGTAAAATTAAAACATATTTAAATTTGCATCTGTTTACTGTGGTAGGTTAAAATAATTTGTGATCTTGAACTAATTATGAAGCCTCTCTGTTTCTCAGTACTTTCATATATAAAAGGGAAATGCTTAACAAACAGACTTGTTGTAAGACTAAAAGAAAATGTATATAAAGTGTGTATCCCAACCCCTAACACGCAGAAAGTCACAACAAATAGAAACAATAACAGATATAATTATCCATAGCTCTTATTCAGTAGAACTCATCTTTAAAAAAAATATCTTTTTAATTGAATTTATTAGAGTGACATTGGTTAATAAAATCATGTAAATTTCAGGGGGTACAATTCTATAACACATTATCTGTATACTAGAGGCCCAGTGCATGAAACTCCTGCACAGGTGGGGTCCCTAGGCCTGGTCGGCAATCAGGGCCCATCGGGTTCCCTGTCTCCCTGCCTCCCTGCCTCCTCTTTCCCTCACTGCCCATGCACCACCATGGCACAGTTTCCCACCTCTCTGCCTCCCCTCCCCCTTCCCTCGCCACCCACGTCTGCTACCACCCACCCCCAGTTCCCCCGTCCCAGCCTGGGGCCTAGCCCTGATCAGGTGATCAGGGCCTACCGGCTGCAGGAAGGAACCAGGAGGTTGGCCAGCAGGCCCCATTGGCGATCGGGGTCTGCGGGCTCAAAACAGCTCCTGTGTTAGCATCTGACCCCCTGGTGGTCAGTGCACATCATAGCAACTGGTCGTTCCAGTAGTTCCATCTTAACGGTTACTTAGGCTTTTATATAGATAGATTGTATTGTGTGTTTACCACCCAAGTTAAGTTTCCTTCCATCACCATTTATCCCCCCTTTACCCTCTCCTACCTCCTCACACCCTTTTCCCTCTGATAATCACTATACTGTTGTCTGTTTTTCTGGGGGCGGGGGGATTGTTTGCTTTTTTTTTTTTTTTTGCTGAATACATTCAACTTTATCACTAGCCTCCCCACTCCTTCCCTTCTGACAGCTGTCAGTCTGTTCTCTGTATTTATGAGTGCTTCTATTTTGTTAGTTTATTTTGCTCATTATATTCCACAGATAAGTGAACTCATATGGTATTTGTCCTTCCCTGACTGGCTTATTTCACTTAGCATAATGCTATCTAGGTCCATCCATGCTGTCCCAAATGGTAAGATTTCCTTTTTTTTTTTTTTTTTTTTTTTTTTTTTTTACGGCTGAGTAGTATTCTACTATGTAAATGTGCCACCACATTTTTATACACTTATCTGCTGATGGGCACTTGGGCTGCTTCCCTTGGCTATTATACATAATGCTGCAATGAACATAAGGGTGCATTTATTCTTTCAAATTAGTTTTCAGGTTTCTTCAGATATATACCCAGAAATGAGATCACTGGGTCATAAGGCAATTCCATTTTTAACTTTTTTAGGTAACTCCGTTCTGCTTTCGACAGTGGTTGCACCAATCTGCACTCCCACCAACAGTGCATGAGGGTTCCCTTTTCTCCACATCCTAACCAACACTTGTTTATTGATTTATTGCTGATAGTCATTCTGACAGGTATGAGGTGATGATTAGTGATGTTGAGCATCTTTTCAAATGTCGTATCTCCTCTTGGGAGAAGTGTTTATTTAGGTTCTTTGCTCATTTTTTACCTTTTTAAATTTTTTCCATCACAATTTATCCCTCTCTGCCCTCTTCCACCTCCACA